GAAAGTTAGAGAAAACTCGCCTGAAGGTTTCGAAACGAAACCGACGCTTTAAGCTTTAATTATCTCTTCCAATTCCGACGTCCTTCTTTTCAGATCCGACCTCCTCCTTGTCAGCCCTTCTTCTTCCTCTCTCTCTGTCTGTTTTATTTTTCTAACGTGTAAAACCTCTAACCCTAAAGCCTTATGTGTATTTTTATACACCTTAAATTCCAAATCCTATTCCAACTAGTATTATGAATTAAAATAATAACCTCTAAATCTATATCTATAAACATATATTATATTACATATATATATATATATAAATATATATTCCTTCCATAATTAACCCATTAGTTAATTAAATCATATATACATATATATATCAATAAATATATATATCTATACATATATCTTTCCATAACAATTATTAATTAATTATATTTATATATAATTATAAATATATATATATATATATATATATATATTTATATATTTATAATTAATACAAAAGTGATCATTTAAATAATTAAATAACCACCGGCCTTTATTAAGTAATCCAATAAGGTTTCATACAAACCCAAGACCACATCTTTTGGTCCAACTTTCCTTAAACCCAATCCAATTAATTTAAATAAATAAGATAATTAATTAAATACTAAAATTAAAATAACTAATTACATGAAGCACATAAACAAACAAGAATTTACAACTAAGTCACACAATACCAATAAAATCAACACACCAATAATTCAATCAATAATCAACCACACAAACAATCAATCATCATACATAATCACGAAATATAACTTAATTAAAATAAGATAATTAATCTAGCACTCAATAAAATAAAATAAATCATTGAAAAATAAAATAAAATAATTAATCCTAATTAATAAATCCTTTAAAAATATCGGGGTATTACACGTGTCATGGCTAACTTGAAGGCTTGAACTGCTGTAGAAGGGAGGCATTCGATCACCATACTCTTAGTGAGATTAAACCTGGTGAGAAAAGCCTGGAGACGTTCATCTTTGTGCTGTCTCATTGTGAATAGGCTCGAGATGTCCTTCGGCGGACGCTTGTTCCCATAGTACTGGCTTATGAACCGATCGCACAGGTTTCTGAAGCTACCAATGGAGCTCCTAGGCAAGTTTTTAAACCAGCTGAGCGCCGGTCCAGCTAGGCTTGTAGGGAAACATTTGCACATTAAAGAGTCGTTTTCCATATTCAGGGCCATTTTCAACTGGATATGGTACACATGATCGATCAGATCGGTTGTTCCGTCAAACAGAATAAAGACTGGCATAGCAAACTTCCTTGGATGCGGGGCATTCAGGATCTCGTCGGTGAATGGTGAATCAACCGTCCGAGCTGCGGATCGGAGAGCTTCATTCTCTCTCTGGAGTCCAGCGGTAGCTCTGTGAGTTACGGTTCTGCCCTCCGAACCGCGATGAGTGATTGTAGCCATGGAGGGCCGGTAAGACGGATCGAACGACCATTCCTCTATGAACTCTCTTTGCCAAGGCGACGCTACTCGACGGCGATCAACCCTATCACTTCCTCTCGGTCGAACCTTTCCCGATGCGGATCGAAGGTTATGGCTTCATTCTGTCTAATCTGCTCATGTCGCGGATCAACGTGAGTCGATCCTTCGTGACCCTCAACTCGACGAACATTTGGCGGCAAATTGTCCATCATCCTTTCATCACGGTGGTGAGCTGACTGATTGTTCTCGTCCTGCTCGCCTTGACGCGCGATATTAGATTGAACACCTCCTTCACCGACCGGAAGTGAATGCGAAACCGCAGGTATTTGCTGATGTTGCATTCCAGCTTTCAATTCTGCATTCTCTTTTTTGAGAGTTTCGATCAAGTTCATCAACTCCTCAAGCTTTGTTTGCTGGACTGCCTCCATCGGATTGGAGCTTTCACCTATCATTATTCCTGAACGGAGTAAAGGCATTAATCTCAAGTTCGCGAGTAGATCCGAGCTTCGTGAGTGGGAATTTTTTAGATCTGGTTTCGAATTCTCCGAATTATGCTCACCGTTGACGAGATCTGAATTGTCCGAATTCTAAATCCGTCAGATCCTGCCACAATCGAACAACTCGTTGTTGCGTAGATCTGAAGCCACTTCTGCCAAAGCTTCAGGAATTGAAATTCCTCCAGAGTAGGTCACAATCGCTCAGATCTGGATCCAACTCCCAAAGATCGAGTCTCGATCAACCGAATTGGTCTGAATCCACGCGATATTCCTCATTGATCAACCAAACTTCCATGCGATTCCCACAGACGGCGCCAATTAAAGATACAAGAAATTCCTATATCTCAACCAAAAAGATCTCCCTTTCTTTACCTTACTCCTCCTATTTATAGAGATTTACAAATGTCGATGGACTGCTGGATCTAGGCCCGTTCCTCCATGAGTTCCGGTCCTCTTTGATGGGCCTATGCGCGTTCGGCCCATATGGTAGTGCCTTTTTATGGGCCTGACCCACCTGTACGGACTAAATGCCGCGTTTGCAAGTCATATCCGGCCCATGTCCTATCGGGCCTCCTCAATAACCTTGGCACAATTTCAAGTTCAAAGGGGTAGATCATCTCCCCAACAAAATCTGGTAATAAACAAATCTACTTTGATCTCACAAACGAACTGAGGGAGAGCGCCTCTATAAGAATGAGACTCTATCAGTCAATCAGGTATGACGAAAATGATTATTAAATTACTGCCTTTCTTTTAGACCTCCGGTGACTGGCTTGATCGTCGGAGAGCTCTAGGCAAGCAACACATGCTTGATAGTTGTTATTTTTGCTGTAGATATGTGTTTTTTTAAAACTCTGGCAACAAAGAGATAGTTGGGTAAACATTCTTGTATAATATATATATACACACACACACGTCAAAATTTATTGTGAAAACCGCAAGATCTTGAACCCTTACATTCCAATTAGAAGCTTAAAAAAATGATTTATTTTTATGAGGCCAAAGACAATCCAAGCTGAGATTTTTTTTTTTTTTTTTTTTTTTTGCCCATAATCAACCTATAAATTTATCTTTTAAAATGTAGGGGGGTATATTGATAAATTTATTAATATAATTTTATTTCCTTTCTTTCCTCAAATATGATTATTATCATTTTCTTTATTTTTTTTTATTAATCAACTAAATAAGATAGGAGGTTAAAATTATAATTTCATTTATTTTATCTCGTAACTAATGTTAACCTTTCTTTTTTTTGCCACCGTATCAAACATTGCCTTAGAGAATTAAGATATCACTTAATGCACAATCTTTCCTAATTTATCCAAAAAAGGAAAAAAAACTTATTAAGATTTTAATTGGGAAGCTTTATGTTTTTTGGTCAAAAGATGGGTAGCACGTTTCAGAAGATGCAGTGTATAATTGCATATTACAACTATAGGTAAAGCAGAACAAAGTTGTTGATGTTGGTGCTTAATTGCATGACATAAATAGAAATTAAGACTACACATGCATTGTACTGACCACAAATCATTCTTATTGCACCTACTCTACATGTATATATATGTGTGTGTTTGTGTATTTTTATGTATGTAATTAAATACTTCTCGTATAAAATGAACCACCACAAATCATGATTCCAGTACCTCTCTTTTTCTAAATATGATTATTGCTCATCAATAAAAACAATAGAAATGATTTTTGTACCAAACAAAAATGAAAGATAGTCCTCTTTTAGGTCGATTTAATGAGTTTGACTTTTAAGTGACAACTAATTGTATTATTGTCCATATCTCTCTTCAAATCACACGCACCTAGTGATTGATGGTGTGATGCAAATTACAAAGTATTTTTTATTTCAAATTGCCATATATATATATATATATATATATATATATATATATATATATATTCATTTATAAATTAGTCATGTCTGTGAAGTCGTCGACTCGTCAAAGTCTCCATCATATACAATTTAGGGGCATGTTCAATGGGCATGCAGTAGAAATTGGACATCTTAGAATTCCACCCCACCCTACAATAACAAGTGTTAATCCTTCATTGATTATGGAAGCTCAAGCTTTTGTAGATAAAAAGGAATATACACCAATATCTTATTAGGAGTGGCAAAATTCGACATTAACTTAAAGGATTTAGATTGAGCTTAATCATATTCGTGTCTTAATTGTGTCAACTCTTTAAACTCATTCAATTAATCGTATTTTGTTTATATTTTGAAACTTTTATCCAATTAGTTTCATTTAATTAATCGTATCATAATTGTGTTAGGTCAATCCAATTAACCTGAACCTATTTAACCCAATTATTAGGATATTTTTATTATTTTTAATATAAATACAATATGATCATCAAATTTGGTATTTTTTTATTTTATTATCCAAATTATTCTTATTTTTTAAAAAATTATTAAAGAATGTTATTTTGATAGAAGTATTTTAGATAATTCAATTTGAAATTCATTCTATTCTAAATTTTAGATTGATTGTCATTCTATTCCTATATCATTTTATATTTGAAACTAAATAATAAAATGAGAATGATTATTTCATTCTATTTCGGCATACCAAAATGGCAAAACCCAAGTGAAAAATAAAAAAGAAAAGATGCAATATTCGCACTCCATTTTTTCTCCAACGCTCCATTTATCTTTGAATAATACTTCCATCTCCTCCCTAAAGCACAATACTTCCATCCTGCACTTCCATACTAAATATTAGATATAAGGAAATGAAATTTGAAATTATTTAAAAAGTAATAATCATTTATTTCTAAAGTTAAAGTTATAATTGATATTTAATTTAAAATTGTAATGTAAGTGTAGAAAAATAGAGTACTAATATCACCTCCAAGAGAAAAGAAAATGCACATACAATTATTCATTAGTAAAGACTTCTATTAATAATTTTTATTTTTTGAGAAGTTGACTTCTATTAATATCTAAACATCAATAATACCTTCTTTTTTCCACTTCCACAACATTAATATAACACCACCTTATATGGAACCAAAACGCGCCTTTGTATTAAAAAACCCTCTAACAATGACCAGGCAGTGCACCAGGGTCACATGATTGTGCATGCTAATGGATTATCAACTGTGTAGCTGCAGTCACAACCAGTCATATAGCATGGCCTTCCATAGCAATAGCATGGCCTTATTATCGGAGGATAACAAGGTGGTGGTGGTGGTGGTGGTGGTGGTGGCAGCGGCAGAATGCCCTCATAACATGGCCCACAACACACCCCAATCCAGTAACCGGCCGGTGTGTACGCTGGTGGTGGTGGTGTTGGCTTATTAGGATTGGCAGCAGCTTCCTTGGGGAGCTTGTCTACAGCCTTCTGATCAGAAGGAGAAGACTTCTTAGGCTCGTCCTTCTTCTTCTCGGGCTCTTCGATCTCGATACTCTTAATTGACTTTCCTCCTTTGCAGCACAACTTGTCACGAATTTTCTCAGGGCTGCAGCATATTACGGTGATCGTCACCGTATTTTTCTTTTCATCATATACCTGGTCTCGGATTTCTCTCATCGCAAACATCATTTAACATATATCACTTAAAAATTATACTCATTTAATTCTTAAAATGAAGTAATAATATATATAACGAATTAATATATAAGAATTAAGCTACCCGACATTCATACTTTTAGAATCATGATGATGATGAAATGAGAAATGCACACACAAACATACACACGCACACACACATATATATGTATATATGTATGTATGTGTGTGTATTAATTTATAGGGTAGGGACTAACGAGGAAATTTACAGAGTATTTTCTTGATCTTGTTGTAGCAGCTAGTGCACTGAAGATCGACCTTTATTATCATTTTTGTAACCTATAATTACATGACACAGGAAAATTTAATTGAGAACATGCAATTTTATGCAAATGATCAAATGGGTACATAGAAATTAATGGAGGGAGGATAAGATTTACAGACCCTAAATGATGAATGGTGGGTGTGAATAGAAAGAAGTAGAGAGAGAACGTACAAGATCTACAAACCTTTTCAGTCATGGCCAGCTGTGACTTTTGAGAGCTCGATCAGAAAATGATGAAATAGGTAACACATTATATAGCACGTGATGGCCAATTAAGTGATGACACGTACATAGTTGAAATTTCATGTGATAATAAAGATTGTTGTTGGAGAGGGTGGTGAGATCAGCTGACCTACGACTGTTGACTCTTCTTAGTTCTCAGTGCTCACCATCATCTGCTTTGATTAAACCATCTCACCTTCCACAATTTAATCAATCAAACTTACATTTAAAGTTAGGGTGCACATTTAATTCATCCAATTCAAGCCCATTAATTTGGATTACAGCTTCCCCAACCCACCCAAATATAGCACCGAGGTCTTTTACTGTAAATGGGTCATGTTCTACTCTTGTGTTACAAACGATACCCGTGTGTGGCAATGGCATAATTAAATGAGAAGAGACGTGGGCAAAAATGGTAGTTTACAATGAAATTATATTAATGGTAGTTTAATGTGACTAATAATATTTTATTAATTAAATTATACTTTACGTATTTATTATTTTAATTATTATAGACATATTAATTAAATAGGTATGTATATGAAGTATTTACTCTTTTTTAGGGTCCAATTGACATGCATTATGATATTGTTTTTTTCATATTAATTTGAAATAGTTTATAACATATAAGATTTTTTAGTCAAAACTCATATCACAAAATTAATAATATTGTGGGTTTTGATATTATAACGGAGGAAGTAAAATAAATTTCTAAATTTCTCAAAACAAATTTTTGTATCAAGATTTCGATTTCTACCCAAAATACTCCTACAACAAAACAGTTATTTTGGTATTAACACAAAACATAATGTTTAAAACACATCGCATGCTAAACGGCCCTTAAAAATTATTGTGTATTGATGAAATTTTATAAGGAGCTCCCCACCATAATATTTTTTCAAAATAGATAAGTAATGTTGAGGATACAAAATTAAGCATCAGAATTAGATATTCATCGATTAGAGGATGGGAGTCATAAATAAGTTCCTGATCTTACTGTGAGAACATGTGAATGTTGTGGTAAAAACTATTAAGAATATTTTAATAAAAAAATATAATTGTATTATATTAATGAAAGTTTAATGCGATCATTATTTTATCAATTAAATTATACTTATGGTGTATATTATTTCATTCATAATTTTTATCATTAGTACACCTTAAAGGTGACATAATAATTATATATATATATATATATGCATACGAAGCATCCACCACTTTTAGAGGTTGTTGTGCATTGATAAATTTTAAAGGGTGACGTATTCCCTCCGTGTTCTTTCTTTACTATAGTATGTATGCCTATGCACATGTATATATATTTATGTAATTTATGAGATTATAGACCCTATACATATATAGATTTAGACTTATTCTTTCTATGGTTACGGACATAGAGAAGACTCCATTGTAAATTGATTGAGTTATATTTTGCAGCTGACTAATGCCCCATGCATCTACATGAAAGGGAGGATTATCAATTTTAAGACAATGTGTTATTGTCGTTTTCCATTTTTAGTTTTCCATTCTTAATTTTTACACATGTCTCGGCCAATTATTTCCTATCTATTTTATTATTGTCATTTTCCTTTCTTAATTTTTATTATTGAGTTTATTCTGTTGTTTAAATTTTATGACTTAATTCATGCATGTTGGTTCGTGTTCATGTATTATTCATTTCATTATTAAAGGAATTGAATTCATGATTTATATATGTTTCATTAATGAATTCTTATTTTGTACATATGTTAGTGTGTGAAGTTTTATTGAAATAGTAATAAAAATTGATATGTTATATTCTTAGTATTCTTATAATATTTATTAAAAAAAATTCCAACAAAAACAAGTAAAAATGTCTGGACACAATTGCACAAGTTTCTGCGTGTGGTGGTATTTTGATTTTTTAAAAACTCTTGAATTTTGATAAAAAGTAAAACCAACTCTGAATTTTGATAAAAATCAAAATACTTTAATAGTATACATATAGAAGAGTGACGTGAATATATATATATATTTGTGAATTTTAGGAATAAAAGGACCCCAGCGCGCCATGAATAGATTGGGCCATTTGGGCCAACCAACAAAAGAGAGAAAAACCAAAAAAGAGCAGTTACCAAACAAGGCTAAGCCCCAAATTAGTCCAAGAGAAAGTTAAGCACGTCAAGCCCATTTTTGGCTATATTTTCATAGAGCAGTTCATGAAGATTGTAAATTGTAAACCATTCGTTTGGAATAAAAAGCTCTTTAATGTTCCATAGATTCCTAAAAACTTCCATTGGTCTGTAAAATTATATTTCTTCTGTCACACAAAAAGTTCTAATACAATACACTTCAGAATGGACCAAAACACAAAAGTAGAAAGGGAACTAATTAGAAAAGGTATATATTTCTGCATATAACTTTTTTTATCTACAAAAGCTTGGGCTTCCATAACCAATGAAGGCCGGATTGAATAGAGTAGTCTAATAATATCAGAGATGGCTCACGTTAATGGATTGGATTGCCATCACAACGGCCTGCTTCGGCCCACTGTGTGATCCCAATGTTCAGTAGAGCTTAACACACACACACATATACATGTGTGTGTATTTTCTTTTTGGGTCAATAATGCGAGGGTGGGGTGAATTCTAGGGTGTCCGATCTCTACTATATGGGCATTGAACATGGCCCCTAAAGTTTACATGATGGAGACCTCGACCACCTCTGTGACTATTTATAATTGGAAAAAAAAATCCAAATTATGAGGTTTTAAATTCAAGAATATATACCTAAACACAAATTTTTTGTACAATTAGAAGTGGTTTTTTTTTTTTTTTTTTTTTTTTTAAGTTAAAGGGATAAGCTTGTATAAATAAGAAAAAGGATGTACAATGAGACCCCCAAATAAATGAGGATAAAACAAAAGAGAACAGCCATCAGCAGGCTTCAAACAATGTAACAATAATAGGTGAAATATTATTGAATGGACATTTCTATATGGGCTACAAATCTTTGATTCAACTAAATAAGTTTGAAAAGGAACAAAAAAAAAAAAGGGCTACATAGAGATTTTTTTAACTTATTTTTCAATTCTAGTAAGAAACTCGATCACACTCATGTAATTCATATGAAGATTTCAACCTTGTAACTTCTAAAGTCAAAAAGATTGACAAGAATAGAATTACTTGTTACATAAAGTCTTACTAAATCAACCTAAAAGAGGACCTATATCATTTTCTTTCTGTACAAAAATCTTGAATATATATATATATTTGTTTTATTGTTGAGAAGTAATCATATATTTAGAAAAAGACAAAGTTACTAAAATCCCGACTTGTAGTTACATTGAAATACTAAATACCACCGTATAAGCGTGGTTCATTTGATATATCATTTGATATATATACACAATACACACAGATGTGTGTGTGTGTGAGTAGGTACAATGAGAATGAATTGTGGTCAGATGTATAAAGTGTTCTACCTTATTGATCCTAGACTTGATTCCCCTTTCCAGACTAACTATTAACAAAAAAAAAAAAAACAAACAAACAATAGTATGAGAACTATATATATTAAATAAATATACATATATATAATAAGAGCAGATTAGATTAGATTGATTTTTATTGGATTATACTTCTTGCACTGAAACAATCACCACAGTTCTCTTAATTCTGAAACCATAAACCAATCAAAGCCAATGGTGAATCAAGAAGAGTCAACAATTAATCCTAGGTCAAAAGTTGGCTTGGCTTATGCAGTACATGTGTCTAAAGTTTGGACTTTAAATTACAACTATTGCCAAAGCAGAAGAAAGTTGTTGATCTTGGTGTTTAATTGCATGACAGAAATAGAATGGCACTTGCATTGTACTGACCACACATCATTCCTAGTGTACCTACTCATATATATACACACACACACATATCTGTACGTATTATATAAGTAAACACTTCACATCATCACATGTCATATGAATCACCTTGTATAGATTCACCAACTTTCAGTGCAATCACAAATTGTGATTCTAGTACATTTCTCTTTTTCTAAATATGATTATTTCTCAACAAAAAATTATAATTTTTGTAAAGAAATGAATATTAGGTCGATTTAGTAAGACTTTTAAGTGACAAGTAATTCTATTCTTGTTCATTTCTGTTAGAAGGTGCAAGGTTGAAATCTCGACAACAGAGTGAGTTAATTATCAAAAAAAAAAAAAAAAAAAAAAAAAAAAAAAAAAAAAAAACAAACATAGGTGAGTGAGTTTCTTACTAGTAGAATAGGAAAAATATATATATTTTAACAAAATCTCTATGTAGCCTTTTTTTTTTTTTTTTTTTTCTTTTTGTCAAACTTATTTAGTTAGATAAAAGATTTTTTTTCCTATTTCCCATTCAATAATATTTCACATATTGTCTAACCATGAAAAAGTTATACAAACCTAATGGATGATGATGGATGCAAATTGAAAAAACTAATGTGATCATGAAAGAAGAACACTTTCAATTGTACTAAGAATTTATGTTTTGGTATATATTCATAATTTTACATCGTCATAAATTATTTTATTTTCTTCTTCCAATTATAAATAGTCGTGAGATTGTCAAGGTCTCCATCATATATATACACACTTTAGGGGCCATGTTCAATGCCCATGTATTGAATATTGGACATCCTAGAATTCACCCATCCATGTACCCAACTGACTTCAAAAGTCCACCGTTATATGCAATCAATCCTTGTTAAATATATATATATATATATATGGAATCAATACATTGCAATATTGCTTGATTTGCATCAT